CCGGCCTCCCCCGGTCAGCATCGTTCTGGGTTCGTCGAGAGCTAAGAATCATCCTAAGGAATGAATCAAGAACCATTTCACCAAAACAATTAATGTACGAATGATCCCGGCGGGACCATGGTCCGACGCCTCTATGCTGGCCTGACAAACAAGCAAGTCCCCGTCTCTGGCATCCCAAGATACATTGCAGCATGGCTCAGGTACTCAGTGCTCATTCAGCACTCACCACAGGTACGGTATTGCATCTGCCAGTCGGTATCTCTTGACATACACCGACAACTCTAATAACCCTCCTAAGAAACTACTCACAGCTACCAAGTCATTCTACCAGAGCCATCCATCCCTCACCCGCGACCCTGCACCGATCGTCCGCCGCGGGGAAACTCTTCACATGAACCGCACACCGGACGCTTACTATTCCGACGTGCCCGCGACAACCGTGGGCCTCTCTTTCGTTTGCCAAATCTTAGCAGTCCAACCAACCCTAAACCTGCGGCGTGTTGTCATCTCGAAGTCATCATGCCCGTGATCCGTCACTGCTAGCCCAGTGCCACTAAGGTGCCTGCCGCACGCACCTACGACAACCGTGGGCAAGTCTTCAGTCACCGCTTCGTTCTACAGCCTGCCGTGGCCCGCTGGACTTGCTAACGGCGAACTGCTGGCTTAACGGTCAAGTAGCTCGGGATGACCATTCGAAAAGCGGGCGTCAGACCCACGACCGAATCCGCCGTCCAACGACATAAGCCTCACCCAAGATCAACTCACATCGGTTGCCCCATTCATCAATATCCTCCATAGACCCCACATCATAGGCTGGTTTCTTCTTTGCCGTATTATAGTTGCCGTATCCCGTTGAGTTCGGTGATCTGGGCTTCTTCTCGTCGCGCCTCTTCCGCGAACTCAAATTGTAAATATTATTAATCGGCTTCAGTATTGTGCCTGGCTCGACACGCTGTGCCCTCTTCTCCATAAACGGCGCAGCTTATGATCCGATTAATTGAGAGTCCGTGTACCCCTTGGTCGATTAATTGGTTCACTCTCGTGACCAACTTGTCAGTGTTATCGATCTCGGGGTCGACCAGGGCTTTCTTGTTGCGCATCTCAAATGCTTCTTCAGATCGGCACGCCCTTAATATGTGGCAGCATGTACGCAGGATGACCGACCACGTAGTCAATGTTTGCCCATTGGTCAGTGGTGATCATTTTCCTTCCCACTCTGGCACTACGGTGGCCATACCCACCAGGAGATCGGCAAGGACCGTACTAACCTTTATGCCATACCGGCTGGCGGAGTTCCGAAACCACTCCGAGAGGACAGTCGCCGTTCCGTGGCGTGAAAACTTATACTCAGACTTGGTTGAAGTTTTAAAACAAACATATGACTACTGGTAGGTTCAACCAGAATTGTTGAGAACATCGGTCGCAAGTATTTTGCAACCGACCAGGTCTCAAACCATTTGATAGTCTACGGCCTGGCCGGTTTGGAACACTTCCCACGCCCGCGCAAGAGTCTAGTTTAGGACTGTGAGTGGTGGTGGAATCAAGAGGAAGCCAGCTACCGACTGAATCAGATAGAACAAACAGGTTTTCACGTCACTTGGCAGCGTCGAGCGTGGCAACAGAACGAGTTTCAGTCCTTTCGTTCAAAACTAGAGACCTGTTTGATTTCTTGGTTACATTCTCCCCATTCCTGCTCTCGACGCGTGTGGGAAGATTGCAAACAAGGCATGTAATGGGCCTTTATTATTAAAAGAGCGTCGTGTATTACCTGCAGCAATCGTTCAGGACGGGGACCGCAATCCCAATGGCTCCGCGAAAACAACATCGTTCCCAATCATGACCGATGCGTGTGTAGCCTCCCAGGCTCCAAATAGGGCGCAAAGTTTGCTGTTCCTAGGAGCTTATGTCACATGCGCTTATGCTGGGTAACTGAGCGCACGTGTGCGTGGGTGGTGTGGGGTCCATGAGTGTCGGGGACAAGGATAAAATTTGTGTTGCTTCCTACTCCGTGTGTCGTCTGACTCCATCATTCAGATCCCAGCAGGGACCCGCGAAACGTGTGTCTGCGAGGTTGCTCCACGAGATAGTCCTCCCCCGCAAGGGAGGGGTGCAAGTTAATGTGGTCAGCTGAAAAGTTAAAAAATAAATCGTACGAATATTTGGTCCGGAAATGTCTTACTCCGCAATCAATGATCTCTCACATCGGGTCTCGTTTCCGGGTCAAACCTGAGTCCCGATGCTCTTGGAAGGACGGCCGGCTTGTTGCCATGCATGAAACTCGTCAAGTCGCTGGCTTTCTTCTTTATGTTGTTCTTTCATTCTTTGTCTATTGATATGAACGATTGCTTTACAAAAGTCCGAGTTGACAAAGTCGCAGGTGATAGCGTTGACGTAGGGACAAAGCTTTACCTGGTCCAGAATTTTAGGCATCCACTCCTTATGCACGCAGGAATTGGCCTTTTGGATGCTGGAGAATGGGTGTTTAGCTATAGCGTCCGCTTCGTGTGTAATTATCGCCTCCAGAACCAAGAAGGCCTTCTCTCGGATCTTGTTAAGGGTATGAGTGTCACAGAGAAACTTGGAGATCCGGTCATGCACGATGGACGCCTTCCTCCCCCGTGTCCAGGACCAAGAGGCCATGGCCCTGGTCAGGTGTTGTAGCAGCCATTGTACCTCCTTGCTTCTCTGGTACTTCTTCACCAGCTCTTCGTAGAAAGAGTCTCTTGTGACCAGGATCAAACGGCGGTTCTTTATTCGCAGCCGGCCTACGTTATAGCGCTTCGGGTTGTCCTGGTCCAGCCTATGTGCAGGCACAACTAGGTCGTCGAATTCCGCTTGCAACAAATGCACCAGCTTCTGCAAGCCAGCATTCGACAATTTCCGGTCCGAATCTCGCTCAATTCGTAACACCACAATCTCCGACTTGAAGCTATTCAGGAAGCGGCAAACGGACTCCAGCACCGCTAAACACGGACATGCGTGGACCCAATGCGTGACCCAAATCTCACCCCCGTCTCCGTGGTCGTCTGCCACACGCAAGTCGAGCATTCGCACCCCCAGATGCAGCTGCTGCTCCACTGTATACTCCTGACACTTCGCCCACGCCGAGACCACAATAGTGCTGACTTCACGAGTCGCGCTATTATGAGTACCGGGGTAAAGAATCTCGGTAGGGTCGGCGTCGTCAGTGATCACTGACTCCATCCATCGACTCATACATATCTCCATTTATTTTCCCCTCCGCCAGTTGGAATATCACCGCGCGCACACGCGTGTGCGCACGCGTGTGTGCGCGCTCGCGCGCCTGCTCGCCACCACCGGCGACGTCACTGACTGTCTTCGCACGCCTCGTTATTTTGCATGCTCATTATTCTTTCGGATGATGATGACCCACCGTCCGTCGCTAACGGCGCTCTCCCTCTGCCCTCGACCCCTCTACCGGTTATAGCTCCTTCCCTTATCAAGCAAGTAGTAGATAGTTATCAAGTTCATGATTCTACTTCTGGGATGTCGACTCTTGGTTTTAAGGACAATTGCCCTAAGTCCGTCGAATTAACGAATACAAGTCACGACGTCGGCGTAATTCCGGAAGAGCCTATATATATCAGCTCAGACGATGGTATGCCTGCAGCGAATGAATCGGAAGACGACGAGTCATCAGTGGAATTCGTCAAGGTGGTTGAAATGAAGCCAGAGGTTGCTCAGGTCTCTAAAAATCGCTCGAAGCCCATCAGGAGTTCGCGAAGGACCTCGACCGTCCCGGTTTCGACTGTACAGACCGAGACTCCGGCGAGGGGCCGGCGTCTGGCAAGGAGTCGGGGTCCGGTGAGGAGTCCGGGCCTCGAGCGGAGCCATATAGGGAACCAGCCAAGTGAGCATGCAAAATATTGTGCTTCCTGTCACAGTCTCGCGGAACCAAAATGCCGGAGCCCTAGCCCAACAGACGTTCCTAGATGGCCAATCCGATCTCGAGGATCCATTGAGCAGGGGCTTCCAACGTCGATTCGACCAGTTATTGGTGAACGCGGGTATCGCCGAAATGAGCGGTATGATAGGAATAATAGAGACAAGTGGCGTGTAAGCGAGCGGCATGCCAGCGAAAGGTATGCCGGTGAGTGGTATGATGGAGGTGGTGACAGAGAGTGGTATAACCGCGATGAGTGGTATGATCGAGGTGGCCGTGCCACCGACAGCGGGGTGCCGGGAACGTTCATAGCAGACAATTGCGAGCGAGACGGGGACTATGAGAAGTACCGCTGGTCCGACGACGACGACCACGAGGGAGAGTTGACAACAGAGAGAAGAGTGCGACGAGGTTTCCAGGAGGATGTGCTGGGCCCGGAAGACGGGGAATTACCGCACGAGAGGAAGAGTTGGTACGGGGAAGAGCGCCAGCTCGAGAAAGAGAGCCTTGGGTCGGAATGCACTATGGATGACGCTGCTTTGCCGGATGGCGCTGTGTGGCCTGTGGCGTTCTCGCCAAGCCTGACCGACGAAGAGAGCCCTGTTCGGCCGGCGCGTTGCTTCGATGAACCCTCATTTGCGGGCCTGAAAGCAACCCCCCGTTTCTTAAACGCCTTTTCCCCCCCGCCGCGCCGGTTCCTGAGCGCGCGGTTCATGCTGCCGGTCCTGGAGCCGCGGCACGTGCGCCGCGCAATGATCCGAGCGGCCCGCGGCACCACGGTCCTGACCGAGCTGCAGGCCCCCCACAACAGCCTCAGCACGGAAACCATAAATGCTCTCTTCGGCATCCAGTGACAATGGCCGTGGCTTCGCCCATGGCCCGCTTGCGGAAGCTGACTCCGAGCCGGGTCTGATTTTTTTATCTAGACGTTAAACATGGATCCGGGAGCTGCGGCGTTCAAGGACCCTGTTGCGCAAAAGGACTTGGCTGAGGTTGCGCAGAGTGCGATCGACACGGCCGAGACGTATCTGAATGCCGACCAGCTGGCGGACGCCGTGAATGCGATAATCGTTGCGGAGAAAGAATGCAGAAATGTAAGCGCACACGTGTGTGCGCACGAACACGTGTTTGTACCCGAGCATATTTCTGTGTCCCGGGCACGTGTCTGTGTCCTTGACGGTGTGTATGTCCTGGGTGCATAAGCTGGGGAAGAGGATGTGTGTTGTAGAACGCGGATGGGGCGTCTGGGGCGAGGTTGTGTGTGTGGTTACTGAAGAAGTTGTTTGAGGGCGGAAAGGTGGACGACGCGTGCGAATGGGTGATGACGGCGAGTAAGAAGCGGTCTCAGTTGAAGCGTGTGCAGATTGACCTGGTTCGGGAGGGGATGGAATGGATCGGACGGATGCCGGACCGGGCGACGAAGTACAAGTTGTTGGATACGTTGTGTAAAATAACAGAAGGCAAGTTGTTTGTAGAGGTGGAGCGTGCGCGAACTATTTTACAGTTAGCGCACGTGAAGGAGGAGGAGGGTGACATAGCTGCTGCGGCGGCGGTGATTCAGGAGGTGCAGGTTGAAGGCAACATTTACATGGACAAGTTTGAAAAGGGTTTCTATTTGCTTGAGCAGATGCGTCTAGTCATCGCGAAAGGCGACTGGGCGCGGTGTCAGATTGTAGCCAAAAAGGTGAATAAGAGAACGATTGAGGGAGAGGGTTTTGAGCTGATTAAGCTCATGTTTTACGGTTACATGGCGCAATACTATAATCACGAGAAAGATATGACGAACCTAGCAGAGTGTTACGCGTCTTGCCTGAACAGCAAATTGGACGCGGAGTCCGTCGACCTCAAGAAGCTTGAGGCGTTCCTGCCGGCGGAAATCGACATTCAGTTCGGCGAGGGTAAGAAACTTGAGCTATGGTACTTGTCTTCGCTGCTGATTGCGCTGGCCGTCAGCGAGGAGAGCCCGGAGAAGGTGAGCAGCATCCGTGTGGTGCTCAAAAAGCACGAAAAGGCGCTCCGCAAACTCACTCATATTCGTGAACTGGGTGAACAACTCACCCAAGATGATGTTTCACCATGGCAACCCGGGTGCATACAAACGGTTCTACAACACCCCCTCCTTAACTCCGATCAACTCCTACCCGACGTTGAAGACCGACGCAAGGCTCTCGAACTCGCATACCTCCATCACAACCTCGTCGTAGTCTCTAAATTCTACAAACGGACCAGTCTACAAGGACTCAGCAAACTCCTCTGCTTCAACCAAGAAGAGACAGAAGACAATCTGTGCACACTCATCCTTAAAGGTAACATACAGGCCAAAATCAACAGACCTGCAGGTATCGTCGTCTTCAACCAAACTCGAGAGGAAGACGCCGTCAACAACTGGGCCGCCGCCATTTCCCGCACTCTTGACGGGCTCTGCGAAGCTTGCAACCTGATCGACAAAGAATGCCAAAAGACACCCCTGTCCACCTGAACGGACACCCACCTGAACGGGCATTCACCCAAAGGGGTCAACGACGTCCTGAGGAAAGGTCCACCCAATTACCGCGAGTCCTACAGGCCAACGACCAGAAAGTCAGGACCGCCAGGTTCTCGGCCGGAGACCAAAAGCACCTCGGGGAGGGCGGCTTATATGACTGTCGGAAATATCTAGCTAAATCGGTTATTGTCTGGACCCGCGTGAACAGTATGGCTTGGTCGGAGAACCATGGACGTACCCTTTCTTTTACGACAGCCTTTCTTTTTACGAACCGGCGCAGGCCATCAGTCTTTGGGCGCAGTGGATGCTTCGGGCGCAGTGGATGCTTCGGGCGCAGTGGATGCTTCGGGGTCGAGGCTTTTGAGGAAGTGTGTGTACTCGTCGTGCGATGAAGTCGTTTTTTCGCGGATAGTAACCTTGGACACTGCGTCGACTCGGATGCCCTGTTTGCGGAGCGTGGTTGGTACGAAAACACTGGGCTTGGGAGGAGCCGTCCCACCCGGCGTCTGGCCAGAAGCCGCAATTACGACCGGGGCGGCCTGGATGACGGCGGGCGTGGCCTTCGCTCTCGGTTTGGGTGCCTGTGTGGGGCCAAGCTGCCGTATCCGGGGCGGTCCGTGCTCCGGTCGTGACCCCCGGGGCCGTCGCGGCGCAGCGGGCGGTAGCAGGACCGGCGCCGCCGCTCCCGGCGGAGGCGGAGGCACCATAGTTGGCGGCGGCGGAGGTGGAGGCGGTGGCACCGTAGCTTGCGGAGGTGGCAGCAATTCCAGTGGCGGCGGCAGCTGCGCCAGGTCTTCGGGTCGTATTGGTTCGAACCCGTCGTCGCTGTCGCTGTCGCACTCGGACGCCTCCACGGTCAGTCTCGCCCTCTTGGCGACCCTGGGCGCCTCCCCTCTCCCTCTTACCCTGCCCAGATCTTGGCCGTCGTTCGGGTCGCTCAGGTCTTGGTCGTCCCCATCACCGGCGTCTTGGTCGTCGACGACGCCGAGCGCAAAGAGTTCGCGCCGGCGACGGTCGGCTTCTTCGTCAACCGCGGTCGTCGCACCCTGAGCGCGAGCCTGGCGTTCGCTCTTGATCGCTTCCACGTCCCGCGCGCTCTCGACAACCTGGCCTGTAACCAGCACCGGCTTGGGCGCAGCCTCGTCGTCGGAATAAAGAGCTGCGTCATCCACTTCTTCGCCAGCCTCCATCTTCTGTACAAACTCGAACATCTTCTCCGTCCGCGACTTAGGTGCCACTGGGCGCGTCTGCGTGTACTGTGCCTTCAACTCTAGCAACTTGGCTGCGCGCTCATTCTCTACATACACAATTTTTGATCCTAGCCATCAACCTCAGCCATCAACACCGGTTCTCAAGTCTTGCTCTCAACATTGTCCGTCAACAATGCTGCCCCCCCCCCCCCCCCAGAGTTTGTTCATACCGGGTTTTTTCTTCTTCTGCCTGGATTTGTCGTTATTTGTATCAGCCATTAAAAAAAGGCTTGCGGACCGGTCGTGCGGATTAGTCGTATGTATTTGTCGTGTGATTGGTCTTGTGGTTGGTCTTGTGGTTGGTCTTGTGGTTGGGTGTGTATGGTTACCAGAAGCGGGCGTTGTAAAAGTCCCACTTGCTGAGGTTGTTCTTGATGGTATTCTCATCGACGAGAGGGATGTCTCTGATGGCGAGTCCGTCCTTGCTGATGATGGTTAGATGAGGTGCCCGGTAGCGTGGTCCGGCGCCGTAGTTGGGGTTATCAAGTGGTGTGAAGACGGCGTATTCACGTTGGAATTCCTCTATGGCCTCCTTGTTCGCAAAGTCTAGAGCAGGCCACGGCATCCTTGAACGATGCGCGGCATACTCGTCTGCGGTAAAGTCAAGGGGGATGTAGATTATTTCCAACTTTTGCCGCTTCCCCGACTTGTTGATGGTCTCGTAAAAGTTCGACAACCAAGGCGTTAGGTTTCGACTCTTGCGCAGATTGCCGGCGCCAAAGTACAGGGCGATTGACGTATTCTCGTCCCAACGAACCGGAGCGCCTCGCGCCGTCTTGATCGAGCCATTGTGCTTGCCCAACAACCCGGACACCGGCAACTCCGGCTCCGCCTGCTCCGGCCCATTCTGGCCCCCACATGGGCCACACACGCCCGGCCGGTTGCAGTAAGGCCGGTAGTCAGGCATAGGATCCGATACAATCGTGCTGTAGTCCCCAGGCTGGTTCTTCATCTTTACAACTGCAAGTTCTGACAACCACACATTTTACCCCAACGCCCAGATTCAAGCCGCCCCAACTGGTGCATGCCGCTGTATGCCAACCAGTCCCCTAACCACCTTAGTGAGCATTCCCAGAAGGTTTCCGGAACGTTTCCGAAAGGAAAGGTTCCCGGAGTCTTAGTCACTGTTCCCCGAGTGTTGATTACTGTTGCTCGAGTGTTGGCCACTGTTCAGGCAGAGCACGGGCACAGACCAAGGCGGGGCGGTCATCACTAGGGTTGCCCAGGGGTGTCGCCCACGTTTGGATGTGAACACCACGACGTTGGGACGTCTTTCCGTTGGGACGTCTTTCCGTTGGGACGTGGCAAATGTGGGATTTCCGTCATGCGCGTTTTCTTGCATTGTCCCGAAGAGTTGTTGTTTTCTTTGAGAGTCGATGGTTAACTGGTGTACTGACTTCATCTCCCAAGTGGGCGGGTCACTGTGCCAGCCACCGCTTCATCATCATCAGCCCCGATCTTGTTCCCGAAGGCGATCAAGCTCCCGGCGCCATCACCACCACCATCACCACCCGGGTGTTGCTTTGGGTGCGACGATACTTGGGCACCATCACGGGCACCATCACTGGCGGCACGTGCGGCGTCTGGTGGAACTAATTGTGCTCGGGGTAGCGATCCTGCTCTGTTATAAAGTCGTGCATCACGTACTTCATCACTCATGCAAGTTCATATTCCACACGCTGCTACACCCCCACCCCATTGTCGGGGCCATCTGTTTCGCCCTGGTCCTCTCGACACTCGGATTCTTGATCGCCTTCATTGTCATCACTGGTGCTACACACAAGATATTCGAACACCTCAAACACTGCTTCCACAAACATAAACATCGATTTGGACTCAAAGACAAAATCGAGTCCGTTGTCCACCACGACTCATCCGACCCGTCCTCGTCAGGTAACTCGTCCTCAGAAAGCGAATCCAAGTAACTTACCCGGCGTCCACCCACGTGTCCCTACTCGATGCCCATCTGTTTGTTCCACTCGGTGCTGCAACACAATACTCTTTCTTGTAGATAATATTCTGGCCGAGACCAAGGAAAATGTAGCTCATGTCATCAAAGACCCCTTGCTGGCGGCACGCAGAAGCAGCTGCTCCGCCACGCCGTCGAAAAATGATTCAGTAATGCGGGAGTGCTCTTGCTCGAGAAAGTAGCTCGAGAGAAGTTGCATTTTTACCCTGACGTAGCGCAGAACATGACGCTTTAAAACACCCTTTCTTGACTCACATCCCGGTCGTCTGACCCATTGCCGAATGATCCAGCTGTCGGAGTGATCCAGCTGCCTAATAGACTGAAATCAATTGACGTTGAATGGCTCGATGGTTCGTTAGGCTTATCCCATGGTTCGCTTGGAGTCAGCTCCATGGTTCGCTTGGAGTCAGCTCCATGGTTCGCTTGGAGCCAGCTCCATGGTTCGCTCGGGGTGGTCGTGCCTGTGGCCGTGCTCTGTAGCTGCAGCACCGGCCTGGCTAGGAAGATTTTTGCCCTGAAAGCCGGAAAATGGATAGACCTTCGAGTCACTACCAGCCGACAGGACAGGCTTCTGGTCGGAGTAGTGCGGCCGTTTCCGACCGGCACCGACAAGCGAGTGCTATATGCGAGTACTATTTCCAAGACCTTTGGGGCGTCACGAAGCCGCCGCCAAATGCGAGTCGTTTGCACGAGAACGCGATGCAGCTTGCCGCATGTCTCCAAACTGTAGGAGACACACTCGTGAGCAGCCAAGCGGAACTGGAAAGCACACTTGCAAAGCTGCCCGCCGGGCCTGCCCCGACAGAACCTCAAGGGGGCGGTACCCCCGATGTCAGCCCCTCAGGGGGTGGGCCCCCAGGGGGTAGGCCCCAACAAAGTGCATATAGCGAGTTATGGGCGGAAGACCCCTTTGCAGGCATCCCGATGAAGTCTAGCAGCAAAGAGCAGGTGAGCAGTAAGGCTGTGTTCAGCGACGACCTATTTGCGGACGACCCGTACCCAAATCCGTACCCGGGTCCGACGGCGGGGGGCTCTCTGTACGCGAATCCATACGGCAGCACGCACTCGGACCCATATACGGAGAAGATCAGTGGAGTACGGACGGGTGTGGTAGACTGTTCGCGTTTGTCCTTGGTGTCTTTAGCGATGCGGTCCGCGGCGGACGCTCTGGGGCATTTGCCGCCGGTGATTTCGCAGAATTTGTCGAAGGAGATGGGCGGAGTGGCGAGTGCGATTTACGGCCGAGTCGCGCGTGCGGTGGAGACAGTTCGGAATATGGAGACGACGGACCTGATGGTGGAGCCTTTTTACGTGGTGCATTGTGCCGAGACGCGTAGTCGCGCGGCGGTATTGATTTTGATCCGGCGTTTCGAGGAGTATAAGTTGGTGTTAGTCGACCCGTCGGTGGACAGCGAACCCTACAGAGAGCGTTATGACTCTCTACTATACCGTGTCGTGCCCCACAGCGTCTGGGATTGCAGCGCCAATGTCAAGGCGCTGCAGGACTCCGCTTTCTGGACCGTTCTGCTTTCTCTCGGATGCGTCCCTAACCCCAAAAATACGGCCACGCTCTACACCGTCCTTCTACCGTTCGTCGGTCGCCGGGTCTACAGACCCCACGACCTCCACTTCCTTGCCGACCCCGGCCTCTCGCCCAACGTAGCCATGGCTAACTGGCACCTTGCAGAACTCGTAGGTTGCGTATTAGTCGAAGAACTGCTCGGACCCGAAGGCTTACCCCGTGGCACCGTGGCCGCCGTACAAGTAAGACTTTGGTCCAAACTGGCCACTGATCTTGCCGCCGTTGGCGACGTCAGCCGGACACCGCGCAAAAGCGGGTCCCGCGAGGCCGGACTCCGGCAGGCCGGGTCGCGCGAAGCGGGGCTGTCGAGCCAGCCGCGGGAAGTCGCGGACCTAGACTGCTTGCTGGACGACTACTTGGAGATCCGAACGTTCCTCAGTCGGCACATCTGCTACTCCATTAAGCGGTGGCAAGATCAGTTCCCCATCCTCGCGGGCGAGGCTCAAATCCTATGCGAACATATGTTAAGGGAGGAGGCTCCTCCTACGGGCTCTTCCTACGTTCAAGACACGATGCTCAGAGGAAAATGCGGTCTGCCGCTCTTTGGAATGCTCAGCTGTCATCGGGCCAGCATGCTCTTTGACGGCCCCCGAAACTTCGTGGGAGGCATTGTAGCCAGACCCGACCTAACTGCACCGGAGCAGTGGCGCAAGAAAATACTAGACGGGGCGGATTTCGCGCACGCCTTAAAAACGGCACTTGAAACCCTGGCCAACATTGAGTATCAAAGAAGGTTCATCAAACATCACATGTGGCTATGTTGGTCCCTAATGGAAGATTTTGTGCTCAGCGTTATTCCCATGGAATTCATTGGCATCACGGCCGTGATAAAAGATTTGTCCAGATCTGACCAGCTCAGCATCGTCGCCGACCTCGTTGATTTACTGCGGTTTTTGTCCGTTACATATGTAAGAATTATTTCCTCTATACCGTCACAAAATGATATTGTCGGCTTCCAAGGGTCCAAAGCCATCGTAGCTAGCACGCTACTTTTATTGATGGACAGTGTGATGCGCCAAGTACCTTATGACAACGTTGGAGCATGGACAACAGTATACAAAAAGAACTATTCTATCGGCATCCATGGGATTGACGACTTGACTTCCTTCATACCCTCCACTGATCCCGCAGTCCTGAGGGCTCGGGTACACGTTCTGGATGTGCTCAGACTGTCGGTTGGAAAGATTGAAATTTTTCCGTTTGATCTCTTGGGCCCGTGCTACGGCGCAAATGAGATGAAACTTTGGGAGGAGATTAGCGATGTAATCGGATTTATGCCCAACTGTCCTTTGGCAGACAAGAGACAGGTTCTTGCCAGTGTCATGCAAAACGAGAACCACCATCTCCATTCCTTAGTACCCGAATGGACGCAACTGAGAAATGCCGTATTTATAACCAAGTTTATTCTTAACACCACTGTCGCAAACTCCGCCCTACAGAGCATGTCGCCTACAATGACGGAGTCGAATCCGAGCTGGAGGTTCGTAAAAACAGAAAATGGACTGCAACATTTCCGAGTTACCTTCATGAACAAGGCCGGACGAGCTGTTGCCAATTGCCTCTTTACCAAAATACAGCCACATGGCAGCACCAACAATCTCCTCGTGCCCGTCTGCGAGTGCGAGAGGACCGGAGTATTCGCGTACGGTGATTTACGAAAAGCGTTTGACGAGCACACGCGTGTGCAATCTCAGCGAGTCCGGCAGCTTCGCAATGAAAAAGGAGATCAGGCAACAAGCATCCTACCGACGGCGTATGCTACGTTTAATGCGTTCTCTAAATACATCACCGGCTTCTGGGACTCGACTGCGGACGAACAATCCGTTGATATGACCTCTGTTCCACCAGGGCACCTTTTCGGCGACAACGTATCATTTATCCAGCAAGGCATCGATCAGGGGGGGCACGAAACGGCGTGGGTGGCCTTGGCTCAAAAGGTCAGTAAGGGAATTCGTTACGAGACCGATATATTGAATTTGAAGGCTATTCCGATTCTTCATAGGGTGCTTACTCCGTGGGATACCGAAGTTTTCTTGGAGCTTCTGGGATCGCCGTACATTCGCATTCCCTCGTTACTTGCGTTCTTTGCGCACGGCGCGAGGATTGAGGCGCTGGCTAGTCCCCATATTCAGGCCATACTTTGGACTGCTATATTCGAACCGGGGTCTTGGAAGTCTGAAGATTTGTTGTCAAAGGAAAGCGGGAAGCTGATGTTGGGGGTCAAGTATCCACCGGAGTCCGACTATCACGCCAAGGTTTACATGTCTACCCGTATGGGTTTGTTGATGAACGAGCTACTTTACAACGGTTCGAATATAATTCAGAGTTTAGTGGATCTCATGCGGCATACGTACGACAAGGAGACGGGAAAGCTGGACCTGCAGTCCAATGCCCCGATTGTCGCGCTGGGTTTTGTGGTCCAGCTCGCAACCAAGGTGTTGAATTTCGTGCGCTACATGTCGGAAGAGGCGGAATTCCTCATTTCGCAATGGACGTCTAGTCCGATTTCGAACACGACGGACTGGAGGACGCACTTCGCACGTCTATACGAGCGACTGAGTCAGCCGTTGCTCTGCGAGATCACGCCTGCACTCTCCAAATGGGCGCAGGACGCGACGGCCAAGAAGAAGATCGTACTCGCCGTCTTCACACGATCGCTGGTGGTCGCGGTGCTGACGTGTGTGCGCAAACAGAGCCACCTGACCAACTGCGGCGAGAGTTTGTTCTTTGTGCTCGCGCACCGACCGTTCTTTCACACAGAAGCGACTTTCGAGACGAGTGACGCCCGCGCGTTCGACCAGACGGAGGTGGGCAGTGATGCCGAGGATGAGACGGGTGTGCCGCGCGCCGCGGCCGGCTCTGGTTCGCAAGAAGCCAAGACGCCGAGCACTCCCTTGGGACTGGCGTTGATCGACATCTTCAAGTGTTTGCACGCTCTTCGCACACACTTCCTGCTCAAGTGCGAAGTCCCGCTCCGGCCCTGGGGCCTGGCGGAGGCCCGCAGTCGAAGCCAGTCGCCCGTGCGCGGAGAGCCGGCGCTGGACGGCGCCCTCGAGGAGCTCTGGGACAACGACCCCGAGACCGGCGACGTGGCGGTCGCCCTCGAGGAGCAGGAGACGCACCGGCGTCAGGCCTCGCGCCAGACCTTCTGCGACAGCGTCTTGCGCGTGGTCGTCGGTGGCGACCCAAGTTTCGCCGCGAACGCGGCCCAAGACGGAGACGCTCAGACCGGAAGAGGCGACAGCGGAACCGGGGAGAACGGATGCGGGGAGAGTGGAAGCGGCCAGCGCACGGCTATTTGGGAGCGCTCCTCGGAGGCTTCCGCCGGGCGCGCCTCGCCCTTCCGCGCTCTCTCCGGTTGCTACTGGGGGCGCTACGTGCGCAAGACCGGTGGCAGTGAGACTGCCGTCGAGATCGACTACCAGTTCGGCGAAATGAGCTTCCTGCAAAGGGGTTTCCAGATCCTCGGGGACTGGGCCTGGGAATTCGACGACTTCCGCGAAGTCGTGCTTCCCCGCGTCACCGCTAAGACCGGGGCGGGCAAAGACGGAGCGAAAGACCCGGGCGCCGCAGGTGCCGCGCCCAAGAGCCTGCCGTCGGCGCCGGGTTCGGCGTTGGGTTCGCCCACGCCAAGTCAGCGGTCGAGTGCGGAGGAGGCGGGCGGTTCGAAGCCGGTGTTGCACTGTGCGACGTTGACGAACACGGCGGACATGTTGCACATTCGTCTGATCGGTTTGCTGGAGTACGACTTGGTGCGACTCAAGGCGATGAGTTCGGGCATGTTGGTCACGGAGCGTACGGACCGTTACTTTGCGGAGCGTGAGGCAAGACTGAAGGAGGTGATGAGGCAGTTGCAGACGCTGAAGGAGTTGTCCGAGCAGCGGCCGAAGAAGGGTTTAGACGCGGCGCAGAAGAAGGAGTACAAGAAGTTATTGGGTGAGTTGGAGGAGTTGGAGGCGACTGTGACGCCGGGCGACGTGTTGAATGCGGGTAGTTGGACGACGGCGAGTTTGGTGCATTTGTTGTGGAACGGGCCGGAGTTGCCATTGCTAAAGGCGTGGAAGATGGGGAGTCCGTATAAGGACGTGCCGTTTTACGAGACGCAGAAGGGTGACCAGAAGAGTGCTGAGTTCCGGCGTTTCCTGTGTTTCATAGAATGGTTCAGTCGCGATTCGTTTGTGCCGTTTCCACCGACGAAGACTATCCGTCCAGAGAATGTGCGAGAGGTGGTGTATGACAGAGTGCGGGATGTGGTGGAGGTATTTGCGTTGGTGCCTTTGGGCAACCGGTTGGTGCGGCAGTGCGTGTACAACTCGAACGGCGACTGGTCGTTGGGGTCGTTGCGTGCGGCGTGTGTGTCTGAGTTAGCAGCACCGGCGAAGGGGGCGGGTGCGGCGCCGTTGGCGAACAATTTGTTCCTCGGTGTGGGTGGCGAGAGGCCGCGGGTGGTGTGCAGTTGGGGGACGCCGTTGAGTCGCGAGATGAGCCCGCACGAAAC